CTTGATGACAGATTTGCACACTCTTGGCATTCTCTCAACCAGCTTCATGAGGTATTCACCTGAAATGCATTTCAATTAACAGGTGTGCCTGGTTAAAAGTTAATTTGTGGAATTTATTTCCTACTTAATGCGTTTCAGCCAATCAGTTGTGTTGTGACAAGGTAGGGGTGGTATACAGAAGATAGCCGTATTTGGTAAAAGACCAAGTCCATATTATGGCAAGAACAGCTCAAATAAGCAAAGAGAAACGACAGTCCATCATTACTTTAAGACATGAAGGTCAGTCAATCGTGAACATTTCTAGAACTTCAAGTGCAGTCGCAAAAACCATCAAGCGCTATGATGAAACTGGCTCTCATGAAGGGGTCGCCACAGGAAAGGAAGACCCAGAGTTACCTCTGCTGCAGAGGATGAGTTCCTTAGAGTTACCAGCATCAGACTGCAGCCCAAATAAATGCTTCACAGAGCTCAAGTAACAGACACATCTCAACATCAACTGTTCAGAGGAGACTGTGTGAATCAGGCCTTCATGGTCGAATTGCTGCAAAGAAACCACTACTAAAGGACACCAATAAGAAGAAGAGACCTGCTTGCGCTAAGAAACACAAGCAATGGACATTAGACCGTTGGAAATGTGTCCTTTGGTCTGATGAGTCCAAATGTGAGATTTTTGGTTCCAACCGCTGTGTCTTTGTGAGACGCAGAGTAGGTGAACGGATGATCTCCGCATGTGTGGTTCCCACCGTGAAGCACGGAGGAGGAGGTGTGATGGTGTGGGGGTGCTTTGCTTGTGACACTCTCTGTGATTTATTTAGAATTCAAGGCACACTTAACCAGCATGGCTACCACAGCATTCTGCAGTGATACGCCATCCCATCTGGTTTGCGCTTAGTGGGACTATCATTTGTTTTTCAACAGGACAATGACCCAACACACCTCGAGGCTGTGTAAGGGCTATTTGACCAAGAAGGAGAGTGATGGAGTGCTGCATCAGATGACCTGGCCTCCACAATCACCCAACCTCAACCCAATTGAGATGGTTTGGGATGAGTTGGACCGCAAAGTGAAGGAAAAGCAGCCAACAAGTGCTCAGCATATGTGGGAACTCCTTCAAGACTGTTGGAAAATCATTCCAGGTGAAGCTGGTTGAGAGAATGCCAAGAGTGTGCAAAGATGTCATCAAGGCAAAGGGTGGCTACTTTGAAGAATCTAAAAGGTAAAATATATTTTGATTTGTTTAACACTTTTTTGGTTACTACATGATTCCATATGTGTTTTTCGTAGTTTGATGTCTTCACTATTATTCTACAATGTAGAAAATAGAAAAATAAAGAAAAACCCTTGAATGAGTAGGTGTGTCCAAACTTTTGACTGGTACTGTGTGTAAGAATGCTGTTCATTGACTATGGCTCAGCATTCAACACCATAGTCTGCTCCAAGCTTATCACCAAGCTCAGGACCCTGGGACTGAACACCTCACTCTGCAACTGGACTTCGTGACGGGCCGCCCCCAGGTGGTGAGGGTAGGCAACAACACATCCACCATGCTGACCATCAACATGGGGGCCCCTCATTGTTGTGTGCTTAGTCCCCTCCTGTACTCCCTGATCACCCACGACTGCGTTGCCGTGCACGACTCCAACACCATCATCAAGTTGGCTGACGACACGACGGTGGTAGGACTGATCAGCGATGACGATGAAGCAGGTCGAGAGCTTCAAGTTGCTCGGTGTCCACCTCACTAAGGAATTAACATGGTCAACACACACCCACACAGTTGTAAACAAGGCACGACAGGGTCTCTTCCCCCTCAGGAGGCTGAAAAAATAACTGTCTACTCTGCTATTGCATGGCAAGCAGTACCAGTGCACCAAGTCTGGTACCAACAGGACCCTGAACAGTTTCTTCCCCCAAGCCATGACTGCTAAACAATGCTGCTAAATAGCTAGGAAAATGGCTACCTGCATTGACCCTTTTTTGAACTACATTTCTTGCACTGACGATGCACACACACTGGACTCTACCCATACGCTCACACCCAAAAACACACATACACCCACATACATACTGACGCCACATACTCACCATATACGCTGCTGCTACAGCTCAGTCTATTATCTATCCTGTTGCCTAGTCACTTTACCCCTATGTATATGTGCATAGCTACCTCAATTACCTCGTAACCCTACACATTGACTTGGTATTGGTACTCCCTGTATATAGCCATGTTATTTTTTACTCATTATTGTTATTCTTTATTCACTGTGTATTTATTCCTCGCGTCACTATTTCTATGTTATCTTTAACTCTGCATTGTTGGAAAAGGACCCGTAAGTAAACATTTCACTGTTAGTGTTGATTATGAAGCATGTGACAAATAACATTGTATTTGATTGTGATCCTATGTATCATCACCCACAGGTTACAGGCCTAAATAGAATAGACAACAGAACATTATATAATGGTTGTCATCAATTTTGTCTACAAAAGCTGCTAGTGCCTGCTATAAAACAGCTCAGCTGATCACTGGCGTGTGCATGATGCCCTGACCAGCCAGCAGCTCACTGCTGTTTGATGTTTGAAAGTAAAAAGAGTTAATCAACTTTCTCCAGCCTTTAAAATACCAAACCAGATCTTATCAGTAGTAGGGCTAGTGCAGTCTTTGACAATGCTAGACATACAGTCAAAAAGAAAGAACACATCATTCCCATGGTCGTTTATTATGAAACACTTTTCACAATTTAATAGATGTATGACAGTTAGCAGGGTTGGGTAGGCTACTTTCTAAATGTAATCTGTTACAGTTACTAGTCACCTTTGATCACAAGGAGATGAGGGTGGATATAAGACTGGGGATCAGGCCGTTGTAGTCAGTAAAATCCTAAAAATAAAAGACTAGAGGAGTAACATGTTGGCAGTCCACGGAAAACTGAGGGACCTAAATCATTTCCAGATGTACCCAGGACACATGGAGAGGAATGGCATGCTGCATTCAGGTTGGTTACTGTGTAAGTGTAATGCTCTCTCGCTCTCTGTAAATCTTACTGTCTACATTGGTTACATTATATTCATACCATCGTTCTTGGTTTGAACAGATTATGGTGCTGCCGATAGGACGAGCTACTTCAACTCTGCAAACTTCATGGGGCCGAGAGCAGATAGCATGGCTTTGCTGACCCATCGAAGGAAGAGGACCAACTTCAACCAGCAGCATATAGGGGTGCCGGATAAAGTGTACTCTGACACCAAATATCCTGACATCTACCTCCGCGAGAGACTGGAGGCTCTCACCGGACTACCAGAGCCCAGAATTCAGGTAAGGCACCACATTTCAAGTCAGATAAGACACAAAACAGTTTCCATGTTAACAAAATGGTCTAGGACTACTAGCCACTAAACCACGACTTGAAAATGCAAAAAGGTGTGGTTCCAGAACCGATGCGCAAAGTCCCGTCGCCAGGAAGGGTCGCCTTTGTCCATTAATCCCAACGTTGTTGCTGCCAACACCCCCATGGCCCCGTTCACACAACCCTATAACCGAATGCCCCAAGAGATTCAGAGAATGCCCAACTTCACACTCGGGGACAACTTCAGACCACCACTTCAAACCCAGGTGGAAGAAACACACGCTAAGATAACACTACGCAGGAAAAGGGTCAACTACATACACTCGACTATCGTTTGTGTTTATGATGCATCCATGGAGGGGAATAGGAGCAAAGTTGAGCAAATGAAACAACGCTAATCTGTATCACAAGGAAAATGGACATTACATCAAGTCCCAAAACAACTTTAGCGGTAGCACAGGGCCAAAACATGTCCTGGTTGAATATGACAACTTCCCCCTGAACAAAACCATCGGTAATCCCTCCGATTCCATCATAGAACAACTTCGGCAGGTTCTCTCCAAAGCACGTAGCATGCCAAGTCCAGCATCCTCAAGTGAAGACCAGACCGGATAACTTTGGCCACTCCTTTCCTATTTGTGCCAGTCAGGAGTTTTCTGATTGAGATTCAGAGTGGGAAAACAGTGCCATGTCTGACTTTTGTGATTATGTGAATTTTCTGTCACAGCAACAAAGAAAGAAGTGTGGTGGGTTCATAACAAAATGAACCGATGTCAGTTATTTATTGTATATTTCAATAAAACATTTGTCTTCGTTTGCAAACATGCAAAATAAAATATATAGGACATTTAATGTACCCGTGCTGTGTACTATTTGTTTCACCTATCCTTATCAAATTGTCACAAAAGCATGAAATCAGTTTGCTTTGCTATATGTTTAATATAAAATGACAGCAAGGAATATTTACAATTGCCATGGGGGATTCCCATATACAGATTTATAAAACCAATGGCAAAATTGAGAAATTCTGGTAACAAACTTTATCAACTCAGTGTTGTATTTGAATTTCGGTTACATCAGTGATGTAGGCCTGAGGTGAGCTTTCAACAACAGCAATGCCCTGTTCGAGACTGTCAATCCTCCTTTTACAAAAATAGAAACATCTTTGAGTATGTTACAGAAATGTTGATGATAAATCCTAGTAACCATAAAGGTATTGTACATATCTACAATTTAAAAAAATTACAAAACATTCTTTAGCCTCCCGTGCGCTTACTACCAGTGGAGTAAAGGAACACCAAACATTGACTCAAAGGGAAGCTCCAAATGGTAAATATTATTTTATCACTCAAAAATAAATATGGATTATTATAGAAACTGCTTAACGTACTGTGTGGCACGACACCTTAGAATAATCTACAACAAGAAATGTACGTGTGAATTCTCGCAGTGACCACAATCTAGTCTAGAGACCAGGGCCATTTTTTGACATGAAAGTTAGTCCGTTTTCATTATAGTAAACAAATCATTTTCAAAGACATGTTAGGGGATCCAAAAAATACATATTTTATTTTACAGTCATTCAAGATGGTGTATGTTCCACTTAGTTGGTGCTGACCAGGCTGCTCTCTGTGTGTGGTAAGGATGCATGCTTCAGACCATGTTGGTGTTGTTGGCGGCAAAGGCATGGAGGTTTCCCAGCTGACTCAGGCCACTCTGGATGTGTGCTACGTGGATCTCTACGTTGTTCTGGAAGCAACTGCACAGACAAGACACACAAATTTAGACCATGTGAACATGCACCTGCCACCTTGGCCATATTTATAGCCCTTTCTCTGAAGTCTTCTATCACCGCCATCCATCTCCCTGCATAACTCTAAATAAGACGAAACATTGGGGCAGAGAATGGATGTGAAATGTAGAGGCACTCACCTGAGGTTGGAGGGGTCTATTGAGCTCTTAATGTCATTCAGAGAGTCCGTAAGCGATTTAAATTCGAAGGAGTTCAGGTCTCCTCCCTCAGCCAGACACTGGAGCACAAACAAATACATGATCAGGCAAACAAATAACTTGACTAGGGATGTGAGGCTGTGTGTGTGTGCCTTTATACTAACCTTGATCTGAAGCAACAAGGCGGTGAGACCTGAGATGAGGTGTTTGAGGCTTGGGTTAGAGAGACACTGCTGGTCGTCGTAGAGGGAGTTGGTCTGCTGCACCATCTCCTTGGCCTCTTCCTCACAGCGCTGACGCAGCTCTGTGGGCTGGTCCGCAAGTGCCATGCCCTGATCTGGGGCCAGCTGGAGAGGGCACAGGGACATGCATACTTAGATTCATATTGTTGCAAAACTGTTCTGGGAGCAGCCGAAGAGAAAGGAGTTCATATAAGCTTTGGAAACAAAAATGTTAAGATGCCCTTCGCTGATGACAATCTAAAACGACTATTGCTGACGTTTTGCTCATCTTCAGTATGTCTTCTCGCTAAGTACACTCATAAGAGGCATGGCTACATGTTACACATCTAGCTGCATAACTATCAAAGATGTCCTCACCTCGCAGCAGAACTGCTGGACCTCGTGCAGCACCTTGTTTAGGTCCTTATTGAGTTGCTCCAGCTTCAGTACTGTGGTGGCATAACGCTTCTGGAACTCCAGGCCTATAGGCATTGAGTATGACTTCTACAAAGAAAACAACACAATGTTAAGTGGTATACATTTACTTTTTGTCACGTATTTCCAATTTCTTTCACTGAATATACTGTTATGAAAATGTTCTGTTATAATACTGTCATAGAATGATCTATGGCCATACCAGTTTTTCAGCCTCTGCGTTCATTTCTTTCAAGTGCTTGATGTGTTCCCTCTTGATCATAAGGATCTTGGAGAGCCTTGTCTAGGAGATAGAGGAGAGGGAGAGATTTTTAGTGGGACATATTTACACTATGATATATGATCCCAGAGGCAAAGACAGGAACACTCACCGCTTGAACGAGGAACTTCACAGGGAATCCACCGAGTGTGTCCTCTTCCACTCCAAAGAATTTGCTTTTCCATGGAGACTGGCTGATGAGGGGGTCATTGTCCTATCACAGGAATAGATGTGTCAATTCCAAATAAACAAAACAATATTCAATTTAAGGGTCAGTCAAAATCATCTTATAGCAATAAAGTACATGAAGCGTTCAACGTGATCTCACACGATCAAAAATACAACTGGAAAGACAACTATAATGTGCACTGAAACCCTTGTTTCCTTGCTTACCATGAGGACGGGTGTGGTGGCGGAGGGGTAAGTCCCCCTAGGTGGGGTCATGAAGTTCTGGAAGCGGGAGGGTCTCTGTTTCTGGGCGAAGGCCGAGATGGGCATGGTCTCGTTAGGCTCTTTACTCTGGAGAGGGAAAAAACACCAGATATTTTTAATAAACTCTAGCTGGTAATGCAATAAATCACCATGGTATTGGCAATATCTTGTACATGCTCCCTACCTTGCTGCTGATTTTCCCAAAGCATATGAGAGTAATCGAGGAAGAAAAGGAAACAGCACTGCTAGTGATGGACAAAGACTTATGTGTTTGTGTATGTGATGTCTGATGTGGTTAGAATCCCAGTTCTAACATATCAATAATGAATGAGTGTTAGGAAGGCCAGGCAGGCGTACCAGCACTTCGTAGTCAGGCACAGTGTGTGTGCCCAGCCCATTCCGGTCAAAGGTCACACGGTAGGTGGCAGCGCCGGTATCCACAGCATCAATCTGCCCAGTGAACAGGCCGTCATGGCCTCCCCTGAGACGAGCTGGAATACACACAGACATCATCAATACTCAAAGCTGGCTGCACATACAAAAACGAGTAAATCTAATCTGGAGCAGGTGACTTTGGTTGCTATGACTACAGATTTGCAGATATTTTACCAGTGACTATGATAGCTACTTTTAGGGTAAAGGCTGCTGATATAAAATAAGTCACTTTGGTTGCCATAAAAACAAGTGTTGTACCGGTGACTTTGGTTCCTATGACAAGCGGCAGGGGAATCTCATCGGGGAGGTCTTTGCAGTGTGACACGTCAGCAAGCTTCCTCTGCTGTAGCAGACGCATCTTCTGCCTCTTCTGTCTCAGTGCAGTCCGCTCCTCCGAAAAGAATGCAGACGAACACCTAGAGGGGAACATTTAAGTTAATTTCAGACACAAATAACTGGTATACTTGGTGTGCATGAAAAAGAAAACCAATAAAGGTTTCATTCCTTCCATTGCATTGATATTTCCCAGAGATTCCATTGTGTCCATAACGCGATGCCAGTTCAGAAAGGGAACCTGAGTGCCCGCCTCGGCTGATGCATCAGCTGAGATTGTTACTAGCATCTAATTGGTGCAATCACGCTTACCTTATTTGACGGTCCATTTAAGCTGACCGGTTCTGCTCACACATCCTGCTGCCGCTTGCTGCTACTGCTAGTATGCTGCAACTAGCTGTTTCTCGCTATGCTGTCGTTTTATGATATATTTTCTTAGTGAGTGCTCGCTAGCTGTGTTTGAACCTTGCCCGCATGGTTCAGTATGCTCATGTTGAAATGTATGGCTGCTGCAGGGATGTCATTGATTGTGGGGATCAAACAATGTTGCTGCTCGATTGTTGTCAGTCAATAGCCAGCTACAAACTAGCTAGCTAAGTAGAATTAGTCTTGGGAGTAGCCTATCGTACAGTCTACTTTGTTCCCAATGCCAGCTAAGGCACCGTATCAGCGGTATCCTACATTATATGGGTCATCCCAATCACATTAGTTATTGTGACTTGCGCCGGCAGTCACACTTTAAATGTTGTACAAATTATTTCTAACTATGGTTATTATTCTTTGGAACCTTATTCCCTTATACAGTTTAAAGCAAGAAATGCGTTCAACTTAACTTGCAGACTGGTCTGGATGGCTGCCGTTTTATGGACTCTTAACCAACCGTGCTTATTTTGTATATAATGTTGCTGCTACCGTCTCTTATGACCGAAAAGAGCTTCTGGATATCAGAACAGCGATTATCACCTTGAACCCGACAGGGCCCTCATCCCCGTCATTCGCAGTAGAAGAAAAGGAGATATCACGGAAGGAGATTGGGGTGCTTGGTAAAGAGCCGGTGACAAGTGGCTAATCTGCCTTTGCCATCGATACTATTGGCCTACTTACAATCTCTTGATAATAAAGTGGACGAACTACAGGCACGTATATCCTACCAACGGGACATTAAAAACTGGAATATCTTATGTTTCACTGAGTCGTGGCTGAACGAAGACATGAATAACACACAGCTGGCGGGTTATACACTGTATAGGCATGATAGAACAGCAGCCTCTGGTAAGACCAGGGGTGGCGGTCTTGTAAACAACAGCTGCTGCACGATATCTAAGGAAGTCGAGGTTTTGCTTGCCTGAGTATCTCATGATAAGCTGTAGACCACACGATCTACCAAGATAGTTTATCTATATTCTTCGTAGCTGTCTATTTACCAACACAAACAAATGCCGGCACTAAGACCGCACTGAATCAACTGTATACGGCCATAAGCAAACAGGAAAACGCTCATCCAGAGGCGGCGCTCTTAGTGGCCGGGGACTTTAATGCAGGGACACTTAAATCAGTTTTACCTCATTTCTACCAGCATGTTAAATGTGCAACCAGAGGGGAAAGAAACTCTAGACCACCTTTACTCCAGACACAGAGATGCATACAAAGCTCTCCCTCGCCCTCCATTTGGCAAATCTGACCATAATTATATCCTCCTGATTCCTGCTTACAAGCAAAAACTAAAGCAGGAAGCACAAGTGACTCAGTCAAAACAAAAGTGGTCAGATGAAGCAGATGCTAAGCTACAGGACTGTTTGCTAGCACAGACTGGAATATGTTCCGGGATTCTTCCGATGGCATTGAGGAGTACACCACATCAGTCACTGGCTTCATCAATAAGTGCATCGATGACGTCATCCCCACAGTGACTGTACATACATAACCCAACCAGAAGCCATGGATTACAGGCAACATCTGCACTGAGCTAAAGAGTAGAAGTGCCGCTTTCAAGGAGTGGGACTCTAACCCGGAAGCTTATAAGAAATCCCGCTATGCCCTCCGACGAACCATCAAACAGGCAATGCATCAATACAGGACTAAGCTCGAATCGTACTACACTGGCTCCGACGCTCGTCGGATGTGGCAGGGCTTGCAAACTATTACAGACTACAAAGGGAAGCACAGCCGCAAGCTGCCCATTGACACGAGCCTACCAGACGAGCTAAATTACTTCTATGCTCGCTTCGAAGCAGGTAACACTGAAACATGCATGAGAGCATCAGCTGTTCCGGACGACTGTGTGATCACGCTCTCCGTAGCTGATGTGAGAAAGACCTTTAAAACAGGTCAACATTCACAAGGCCGCAGGGCCATACGGATTATCAGGACGTGTACTCTGAGCATGTGCTGACCAACTGGCAAGTGTCTTCACTGACATTTTCAACCTCTCCCTGACTGAGTCTGTAATACCAACATGTTTCATGCAAACCACCATAGTCCCTGTGCCAAAGAACACTAAGGTAACCTGCCTAAATGACTAACGACCCGTAGCACTCACGTCTGTAGCCATGAAGTGCTGGTCATGGCTCACATCAACACCATTATCCCAGAAACCCTAGACCCACTCCAATTTGCATACCGCCCCAACAGATCCAGATGATGCAATCTCGATCGCGCTCCACACTGCCCTTTCACACCTAGACAAAAGGAACACCTTTGTGAGAATGCTATTCATTGACTACAGCTCAGCGTTCAACACCATAGCGCCCTCAAAGCTCATCACTAAGCTAAGGACCCTGGGACTAAACACCTCCCTCTGCAACTGGATCCTGGACTTCCTGACGGGCCACCCCCAGGTGGTAAGGGTAGGTGACAACACATCTGCCACACTGATCCTCAACACGGGGGCCCCTCAGGGGTGCGTGCTCAGTCCCCTCCTGTACGCCCTGTTCACCCATGACTGCATGGCCAGGCAAGACTCAAACACCATTATTAAGTTTGCCGACGACACAACAGTGGTAGGCCTGACAACCGACAAGACAGCCTATAGGGAGGAGGTCAGAGACCTGGCCGTGTGGTGCCAGGACAACCTCTCCCTCAACGTGATCAAGACAAACGAGATGATTGTGGACTACAGGAAAAAGAAGAGGACCGAGCACGCACCCATTCTCATCGACGGGGCAGTAGTGGAGCAGGTTGAGAGCTTCATGTTCATTGGTGTCCACACCACCAACAAACTAACATGGTCCAAGCACACCAAGACAGTCGTGAAGAGGGCACGACAAAACCTATTGCCCCGAAGGAGACTAGAAAGATTTGGCATGGGTCCTCAAAAGGTTCTACAGCTGCACCATCAAGAGCATCCTGACTGGTTGCGTCACTGCCTGGTTTGGTAACTGCTCGGCATCTGACTGGAAGGCCCTACAGAGGGTAGTGTGTATTTAATGTATTTATTATTTAACCTTTATTTAACTAGGCAAGTCAGTTAAGAACAAATTCTTATTTACAATGACGGCCTACACCGGCCAAACCCGGACGACGCTGTGCCAATTGTGCGCCGCCCTATGGGACTCCCAATCACGGCCGGTTGTGATACAGCCTGGAATCGAACCAGGGGGTCTGTAGTGACGCCTCAAGCACTGATATGCAGTGCCTTAGACCGCTGCGCCACTCGGGAGCCCAGTAAATCACTGGGGCCAAGCTTCCTGCCATCCAGGACCTCTACACTAGGCGGTGTCAGAGGAAGGCCCTACAAATTGTCAAAGACTCCAGCCACCCTAGTCATAGACTGTTCTCCCTGCTACCGCACGGTAAGCGGTACCGGAGCGCCAAGTCTAAGTCCAAGAGGCTTCTAAACAGCTTCTACCCCCAAGCAATAAGACTCCTGAACATCTAATCAAATGGCTACCCAGACTATTTGCACTGCCCCCCACCCCCCTCTTTTACGCTGCTGCTACTCTGTTTATTATCTATGCAGTCACTTTAATTCTACCTACATGTACATATTACCCCAATTACCTCGACTAACCGGTACCCCCGCACGTTGACTCAGTACCGGTACCCCCTGTATATAGCCTCTATTGTTAATTTTACTGCTGCGCTTTAATTATTTGTTACTTTTATTTCGTATTATTTTATATTGTATTTTTTTGTGTTATTTTTTTGCGCTTTCTTTCTTAAAACTGCATTGTTGTTTAAGGGCTTCTAAGTAAGCATTTCAATGTAAGATCTACACCTGTTGCATTCAGCGCATGTGACAAATAACATTTTATTTGATTGAATAAAAAAAAATAGACTGTGGCAGTACGATATTTCACAATTGGTGTGAAAGGCATCATAAACAAGACGTGCTCGTATTTTTTTGTTCCTAATTATTCGAACGAAAATAACAGACTTGCTGAGAAAAGGCCTTTTACAAGATTAAGTCATGACAGGAGCATTTGATTATTTTTCCAAAGTTAGAGTCTGGACAGACTACTTTAGGGAACTTTCTGAATGGAAAAATGTGACTTGTTTCAGTAAACTAGGCACGTCGCACGTCACTACTTCACATTAGCAGCATTTGAACATAAACATGTATTTTTTTATCAAAATGCATTTTTTGGCAGAAATGATGTGAACTTTCATGTGCCTTAATCAAAAAATGTATATTCCATCCATAAATACAATTGTTAAATTACGAGCCTAGTTGGTTTAACCATGGAAAAAAGACAGGAACCTTCCCACTAGCCATGATTGGCTGAGAATGTATGAGCTGGACATGCCGGGAGATTTGTATTTTGTATTAATTATGGATATAATATAATATAATATAAATATAATATGCCATTTAGCAGACGCTTTTATCCAAAGCGACTTACAGTCGTGCGTGCATACATTTTTGTGTATGGGTGGTCCCGGGGATCGAACCCACTACCTTGGCGTTACAAGCGCCGTGCTCTACCAGCTGAGCTACAGAGGACCACATAGTCTTCCTGGGGTCCAGCAAAATTAAGGCAGTTAAACATTTTTTTTTTTTTTTAAACATTACAATACATTCATAACAGATTTCACAACATATTAAGTGTGTGCCCTCAGGCCTCTCCTCCCACATATCTATAACACAAAATCCATGTG